TCCTCTGAACTTGCCTCTTGCTCACTGGGCTAAGGATTTTGCAAGTTTCTTCTGGACAGTATAGGAAATACTTAAAACCAGTAATTGATTGAGTTGCAGGGAAGGTATTACTAAGTAAAAAGATATAGGTAGTTATTACCTTTACTTCATCACTCCCAGCCTGAGCCTCAGATGGGTATACTCTGGACGTACCACATTAATTACTCTAAACATTGAAGAATTTCCTGCTTAGACTTCACAGTATAAAGTCTTCCCTAGTCGCCTTATTTTAAAATAATCCTTCTTTCTTACCTTCTGCATTTCCTGCTCCTTCACTGCTTTACATTGCCCTATGACACTTCCATTGGATACCATGTATTTTTCTTGCTCATCTAATGCCCCTAACTTGAGCGTATATTCAATTAATGCAGAGAAGTTCCCCTGTTTTGTTTGTTTGTTTTTGTTTTGTTTCACTTACTGCTGTCTTCATAATACTCTGAAAAGGACTTGGCATATAATAGAAGTGCAAGAGCTATATTTTGAATGAAGGAGTGAGTGAAAGGCTGGTTCACCAAGACCTCCTGCTAAGACTTAGTCCTGTCCTTCCTCCTTTGCTGATCCATGCTGAGCCCTATGTTTTCTGGGGTTTCCTGGCTAGCTACAATGAGAGAGGCATAGTCCTGGAAAGCATCTTGTAGGCTTTGCTATTGTTTGGGAACCACACATATCTGGGTTTAATCATACCTACATTACTAATTAGCCGAGAGATCTTTTTTCTTTTTTTAAAAATTTTTGCCAGAGGGTGCATGAGCTAGCCAGAGACAGAGAGATAGGGAGAGGGAGAAAGCATCACTCAATGGTACATGTTCATACTATCATCCTTTCTCCTCCATTTCTCTATCGTGTTGGGATTTTAGACACATAAGTATACACACTTGGTATGTTTCTCAAGCTGTCAGAATTTGGATTTGAACCTCATAGTCAATCATGTGGGATCTAGCTCCCTTTACCACTAAGCCATGGGAACAGCTTGAGACCTTTTCAAACAAACTATAAATGACTTCATTTGTAAAAGGGTGGCAATAATGTTGATTTTGCTGACTTTTCCAAGTTCTTTTTTTTTTAAAGTTTAATGAGTCAACATAAATGAGGCACTTAATACTGCCTGGCATGTGCTGAATGATCACAAAATTTGGATTTTCTTCCCTTTCTCTTCATTTCCAGTGCAATGTTCAACTTGCTGATGACTCAGTGACACAGAGATTGGGGAAAGTTGGTAAAATCAGATGCTAGGGTAGAACAGGGCGGGGGGCGGGGGAAGGATTATAAAAACTAGAACTAGAGAGATAGGCAAGAAGAAAGGACTCTGTTATCAGGATCCCAAGATCACCTTTTACCTCCTGGTCTTTTGTAGAAGGATCCTTTTGCCAGTGACAGATATGAGGAAGGTAGAAAATTTACAGTGTTTTGCATTGCCTTAATCATTACATTTCTAATGTAGTTCCTGAGTTGACACATTACCCAAAACTGATTCATCCCAAGGGAATATATTTCTCTTTAGCAGAATTTGTCTCCCTCTTATGCAGCCAAAAGGATCTGACTACATAAGAGCCCAGGCTGGACAAACTCACTTAGCAAAGGAAATGCACTTCAGAAAGTATTACGTGACAGATCAGCATGAAGTTTTAATTACTCAAACAATGCGGAAACACACTCACTCATCTGGATGAGAGCAGATGGAGCCTGGAAGCAAATTTTCAGACATTCAGACATGGCCCATATGTTGACCTCTTAGCTGCTTTGACATATATAGTATGTTTATTTACTTATGTTTTCTTGCATCTTCTCTAGTACCTTTTTCTTTTTATACTAGTGCATGAGCACATAAGAGAGAGATATATAGAAAGAAACATTTTCCTGACAAGGTTTTGTCATGACACAATCCCCTTTCTCCAGCCTTCCAGTTCCTTAAGATCCTAGGTGTCCACATGTGTGCCTAGACCTGAACCTGTAGTTCAGCAGCATCAGCAGCAAAGCCTCTACTACCTTGCTTTTAAGGGAACAAATGTGTTGTTACTGTTTTTCCTAAGAATAACTTCTCTGAGCATCTGGGTACCCTACTATAGGGCATGTGCGCTCACCAGAAAGACAGAGACAGAGAGACAGAAAGTGAGAAATCACCCCCTGGGGTGATGGCCATGCCACAGTCCCTTCTCCTCCATTCTCCTCTCGGGATCTTGGGCACGCACGCACACGCGCCCGGCATTTTAAGCCACGGGGTCCCTGACACGAACCATAGTCGACTACGTGCGAGTCCAACGACATAGCCATTACGCTAACTGCTGGTCCCACTGTTTTTCTTCTTAATTGCTCTCACAAAACCTCCAAAGATATTTTCATGGTGGGGACCAGCAGTTAGCGTAATGGCTATGTCGTTGGACTCCCACGTAGTCGACTATGGTTCGTGTCAGGGACCCCGTGGCTTAAAATGCCGGGCGCGTGTGCGTGCGTGCCCAAGATCCCGAGAGGAGAACGGAGGAGAAGGGATTGCGGCGTGGCCATCCCCCCTGGGGGGTGATTTCTTGCTTTCTGTCTCTATGTCTCTCTCTGTCTGTCTGGAGAGCGCACGCACCCTATAGCAAAAACCTCTCCAAAAAAAAAAAGCAAAGATGTTTTCATGGTTAAAATGATCTAACAAGCCAGCCAAGGCAACCAGGATAAACTTATCCACATTGTTACTTCAGGGTGATAGAGCAAAGTAGAGGAAGTGGCAGAGTTGATGTAAGTGATGGTGGTAGTGGTGGTGTCAGTGAAGGTGGAGAATATTATGGTGGGATTGGTGTTTCCTATCACAGTAATGGCGGCAATGGTGGTAGTGACGGGGGCAATAGTATTGATTGTAATGGTAGTGACAATAAATATGGAGCTCATGGAGGTGCTAGTTAAGACAGTGAAGAGGTGGTAGAAGCAGTTGAATAAGTGCGGTGGAAGCAGTCAAGGAGGCAGTGGTGGTGAAGATGGTGTAGTACCAATGATGAAGAAGGTGAGAGTGGTGGAAGTGTTGATGGTGATTGTACTGGTAAAAGCAATGTTGGTAAAAGTGTGGTAACAAGAGAACAGAAAACATATGTCCACACAAAAAACTTCTGCATGAATGTTCATAACAGCATTATATGTAATAACAATGAAATAATGCAATGCCCATAAACTAATGAATGGATAGACAAAATTTAGTATACTTGCAATGAAATATTATTTGGTCTTAAGAAGGAATAAAGCATTGATGTGTGCTATAACAAGGAAGAAACATGCTAAATGAAAAATTGAAAACATTATGCTAAATGAAAGAAGCCAGTTACAAAAGATGATCCATTGTATGATTCCATTTGTATGAAATGTTCAAAATAGGTGAATATGTTGAGAAAACTGTTAACCTAGTGAGCTAATTCCTCAGGCTTAGAGAACTGAGGTGGGAGTGAAGTTTCTTTCTGGAGGGATACAAATGTTCTAAAATTAGATTGCATAACTCTGTGAATATGCTAAAAAAAATTGAATTGTATGTTAAATAGGTGAATTTTATGGTTCGTCCATAAAGATTAAAAAAAAAAAGTGGGGGCAGTGGCATGCTAGTAGTGGAGGGCTCAATTTTGGTTGGCAGAGAGGAAGAAACAGTTGATTGACACCTACTGTACTTTTTCTGTGCAAGGCCAAGTCTGAATACTGCACATTTTTTGTCTCTGAATTTTTTTCTCTGCATTTTTTTCTATGTCTGTTGGAAAGCCAAATATATTCTCCCACAGCAAATACCAAATTGACACACAAGTAATTCTAGGACATATTATGAATATCAAACCAACTTGCCAGCCACACTGGAATCATGTATAAAAGGGAAGTCTGGGTTTTCCACATAGTATCCTCGGCACATAGAATTGGCTTCTTAGGAGCAACAGGGTTTGAGTAGCCAGGCTTCCTCTTGTGTGAGTGCAAAATCAGACGGGTCCATGAAGAAATTAAGCAGATATCTGGGGTCTATAATTTTTAATAATTTTAAACTAGCTACAAAATGTCAATCACTTCACAAACCGACAGAGGAGACAGGAGGAGTTTAATATTACATGCTGTAATGATATTTATCTCACAGTTTATCTATATTTCATTCATTTATATAATTTTTTAAAGATTTCTTTATTAGCTACTAAACATCTCAGCAATTTGGTGTGCATAGCTCTAGATTAAGCAACAAAGAATTGTACTGATAACAAACCACAGGGGAAATGGTGATTAATAAGTCAGCCTTACAAAATTTACATCTCCACACTGTTTCACAGCAAGATTGCTTTCTCCAAAACACAACCTTCAAAAGCAGCAAATGAATCCTATATTACATCCATTTGACATAGTTTCAGCCAAACATATATTTTGCTGGAAATGGTTAAATGGTGAGTATGTCAAATCCATCTTTTTTTAAAATTCTTTTTTTTAAAAAAAGGATGATCATGAATAAGTCTATATATTGACAGAAAAAAGTGACACTACTGCAGTTTTGCTGGTATAACTTAATCTTGACAGTGTCTCAATACTGAGCATGCTTTGTTGTTGTTCTGTTGTTGCTGTTGTTGTGTGTGTGTGTTTTCTCATCAGTATGCTACTGTCATGGAAATTTTTTGTTTAAGTAGGAATCTAAAAATCTATTTAGTTCTCATGCATAAATGCATAAATCACATCACTTTTAGTGCAATGCCTGTTATGTAATTCCACATTGTCTAATCATGAAATCATAAAGACAAGATGACAGCCATGGGGGACCAAGGACAGCAAATTTTGAGAGATTCAGAGCCTGACACTCAAAGAAAGGACTGTGGCAGTAGCTCTGTGGAATGTCACAGTTTTACAAGAACAATACTGTGTATTGAAAGAATCAACAGCACATTGAGCATTCCTAAATTGTCATTCAGCAAACGCCACTGAGAAGAAAAAGGAAAAATGAAACCCAAGACATCTTACGTAGGGAATTAGAGCCACCAAATGACCACTATATACAACCTTTGGAAAGAAAAAGACTCAGAGGGGACAAAAGACATATAATATTGTCAGGAAGCTGACAGATGACACAAGACAACATTCACGATGGAGGTGGACTGACGTGTGTATGTGTGCAAACCTACTAAGTAATACCATGAGAAAAGCATGAAGGAGCTATCTTGCCCAACAGCACTCAGAAGAGAACACAGGTGGCACTTAACCACTTCCCAGCATCTTTGTTGCACGTTGGTTGGCCTCATCAATTCTGGTTTTGTTGGAATCAGCCTAGAAAGAGAAAAGAACTCAGGTTACCCATTGAAATTCCATTTATCTTCCTGGGTCTAGTCTCAAATGCTATCTCTTGGGAGAAGACATGTTGATACTTCCCTAGTCAAAACTGACCATCTCTTTTTGTGTTTACAAAACCACTGATAAGGCTCTACTTGGATGTGACCATAGAAGTTTGATTTTAGTTTCTATTTTCTCTGCCAGAGAGCATCCTTGGGAGAATAGGATTATATCATGTGTCATTTTTCTTTCTATCTTAAAATGATATTCAATGATTGTCATGGTAGGCTTCACATCTCTTAGACCGAATTGATTACTGCTACTTGTACATTTGGACCCAAATCATGGTTAACTTATTAGCAGTGTCACTATGAGCAAGCTGCTTTACCTCTTGGGGTCCCAGATTTCTTATCTACAACCTGGGGACAACAGAGAATACTGCTAATGTTTGTAAACATCTGTGTTCCATTTATCCAACTTTGACAGCATCAAGATTGACCACATCAACTATGAGGTGGAGATGACTTAGGCAATTTGTCTAAAGTCTTAGTGCTAAAAAATAGGGAAACCAAAATCAGAATGTGAGCAGCCTGAAGTCAGAGTCTCTACTATTAATCACTCTACTATTTAGGTTTGCTATGAGAATTAAATGAGTTTATACACATAATGTGCTTAGAATACTGTTCTGCAAATATTAAGTATTAATAAAGTTTATCTTATAATTATTGTTACTGGGTGAAAAACCTGGTTTGCTTTGGGGATGCTCAGTAGTTTTTAGGTCTGAAAACTTGCTTCTATGAGTTTGATAACTGTCTTATCTTTTTTTTTTTTTCTTTGAGAGATTTTTGCCATAGGGCGCTTGCCAGAAAGACAGAGAGAGACAGAGGGACAGAAAGCGAAAAATCATCCCCCGGGGGATGGCCATGCCACAATCCCTTCTCCTCCATTCTCCTCTCAGTATCTTGGGCATGCACGCATACACACTCAGAGTTGAGTTTAAACCACCGGGTCCGGAACTTGAACCAAGGTCGACTACGTGGGAGTCCAGCGACATAGCCATTACTCCAACTGCTGGTCCCAACTGTCTTGTCTTTAACAGGGACACACTTACTGTAATTGTGTATCTTGCTTATTACAGTCTCTTAGTCAATCTCTTCACTCTTGAGTTATATTTTGGTTATATACAGCATGTAATTCATTACTGGTACCAAAATATACTTTTAAACCCCAGAAAATTAATTACTATTATGCTAAGAAAGATCAACCAGTAATTGAAGACAATTCTGTGTAGGCTGATGCTATGTCCTATCCTGATTAGTAATGTCTGTTGCTCTATTGCTTAGGAAGAGGAGGAGGAGGAAGCTGCTAGACAGTACAGGGGGTACCAAACTGTTTTTCTATCAATCAGAATTACTCAGTGATTACAGACTACACCTATCACTGTGCTTGGTGCTTTCCAACTTTCATCAAGTTAGGTCTTTATCATTTTGAATTGTGAATGCCCAGGATATAAGAATTACCCATATTCAAACAGAAATTTTCAAAGTCAAAATGAACATATTTTTATGACTAGCCTGTGGTCTAGTAGTTAAGATTGCTGGATTACACATGGTTGGCCATGCATGAGTCCCAGATTTGGTGTCTGGAAAAACATACTGGGGGAGTGTGTGTGTGTGAGTGTGTGTGTGTGTGTGTGTGTGTGCCCAAAATCCTGACAGGAAGGAGGAAGCTGAAGAGAAGGAATTGCTGTGTGACCATGCCCCATAGGGGATTGCTTTCTCATTTTCCCTTTCTCCTGTCTATCTCTTTCCTATCTCTGGAAAATTAAAAAAAGACCAATCGAAAACTATAATTCTTGATGTTCTTAAAAGAGTTTTTTGCCATAGGGCTTGTAAACTAACTGGAGAAAGAGAGAGAGACAGAGGCAGTGAGAGAAAGTGGGAAATCACCCTCTGGGGAGAATGGCCATGCCAAAATTCCTTCTCCATTCTCCTCTCAGGATTTTGGGCACACATGTGTGGGGACACATTTAAGAGAGAGAATCTGAGGTGTGTGAGAATCTGAGCAAACACCACATGCTCTTTTGGGGTTTGGCAGAACCTTGTAACTTGTCATTCCTTGACCTTGGCTGCCGACAGAGCAAGGGTGGAAATTGCTAAGGGCGTTCCAACAGACACATCTGATGGACTTCAAGAAACATCTTGACCCCAATTAGTAAAATCCAATCCCTGCTCTGCATCTGAAAGGTTCTTTAGACTTCTCTGGGTGTGGTGGTACACTCCTTATAGAGAAGTTCTTTAGCTCCTTCCTCACACCTAACAGCTAGTTCTCTGCATTAGAAAAGAAGATGAGATTTTCTCTACATGGGATTACCACCAAGGGATACACCTGGCCCTGGTATGACTAATCCCATATAGATTTGTTAACTGCTTCTCATTGTCTGTAACCTGGCAACTAATCCATGAAGTGTCATGAAACATACATGTGTAATGTCTCCTTGTACTATAAATAAAGACGTCCAGTTCATCTGGGTGGCACAAGTTGCTTGGGCTGCCTAGGCTCAGGCTGCCTGTGTCCGTTTCTACTCTATCCCTTTGTCTCATTCTTTCCAATTCCCAGGTCCTGGCAAGATGGAGGGCTTCCTCTTTCTTGTCCTCTTTCTCTTCCTCACCAGCAGCCCCCTGATCATGATTCAGCCCGACCCAAGCCCTGGGGCAGACGCCGACACACATGCATATGTGCACAGCGTGATTTTCAAGCCACCAATCTGGGACTCGAACTGTAGTCGGCCATGTGAGAGTCCAGGAACAATTAGGACATCTGTTGGCTGTATTTATTGATTATTCATAACTCTGAATTGTCTGGCATATCCGTTTGGAAAATTGAGAGTTGACTTTAAAAACAAGTATCTACATCATAAGATATAGCATTGATTTTCCTTGATCATTTTAAACTGTAGGCTCATATTTTTGACCCTAGGATCCTTATTTTAAAAGTGGATAATCTAGGACCAGCAGTTGATGTAATGGTTATGTCACTGGACTCCCACATAGTCAACCATGGTTCGAGTCCTGGACCCGGCAGCTCAAAACTCATGCAGGGTACATGTGCGTGTGTGCCCAAAATCCTGAGAGGAGAATAGAGAAGAGATTGTAGCATGGCCATCCCCCCAGGGGGTGATTGTTTGCTTTCTGTCTCTCTGTCTCTGGCTCTCTGGCAAGCGCATACACCCTATAGCAAGTCTCTTTCTCTCTAAAAAAAGTGGACAATCTCTCCAATTTTACTTGGCCCTTAAATTCTTCCTCCATAGCTACAAATTGAGTCAAAAATAATGACACTTTGGTGCAAAGGACAATTACAGGCTTGGACCTAGGTAAAATGTTCCCATAGATTGACTTACACTGACTGTTTCTGTAGTGAAGTCTGAGAAAAACTTAAATGAGGAAAAACAAACCCCTTAAAAACAAAGCCCCTTGGGAACCAGCAGTTAGCGTAATGGCTATATCGCTGGACTCCCATGTAGTCGACCATGGTTCGAGTCCTGGACCCGGTGGCTTAAAACTCACGCTGGGCGCGTGTGCGTACGTGCCCAAGATCCCGAGAGGAGAATGGAGAAGGGATTGCAGCGTGGCCATCCCCCCTGGGGGGTGATTTCTCGCTTTCTGTCTCTATGTCTCTCTCTGTCTGTCTGGCGAGCGCACACGCCCTACAGCGGAAAAAAAAAAAAGCCCCTTAAAAAATAGTAGCATTTCTGGGAACCAGCAGTTAGCGTAATGGCAGTGTCGCTGGACTCCCATGTAGTCGACCGCGGTTCGCGTCCCAGACCCGGTGGCTTAAAACTCACGCCAGGCGCGTGTGCGTGCGTGCCCAAGATCCCGAGAGGAGAATGGAAGAGAAGGGATTGCAGCGTGACCATCCCCCATGGTGGGGGATTTCTCGCTTTCTGTCTCTATGTGTCTCTCTGTCTGTCTGGCGAGCGCAAGCACCCTATAGCAAAAAACCTCTCCAAAAAAACAATAGTAGCATTTCTGAAGACAAAAGTTCTGGGATCTTTTGCATAACAATGGACTGATGAGCCTTCACAGGGTGGCACAAATGGATATTTGACATAGAGCATAAGGTTTTTCCCTGGACATCTTTAAAGGATCTGGGAAGAGCTGAGACAGACCTGTGTTCACTGTGCATTTGTGAATTTCACCTGTATTCTTTTTTATTTTATTTTATTTCAATTCCTTTCATACATTCAATAACCTACATTCTTTCTTAAGAATTCTAGCCCATACAATATGTGACATAAAAGTACTGAATATTTATTATATTAAAATAAAAGAAGTAGTGCTTTATAGGGAAAAAAAAATCCTGAATTTCATTTTAGTACTTTATTTATGGAGGCTATCCCTTCCCAGTTTTCATATTGCTATTTAAAGAATTCTAAACTCACTGGCATGCCCAACATATGCTGCATGATTTGCCCTTATGTGAAAGCCAGAATGCCCACTGGCGAGCCAGGAAGAGGTTAGAAGGAGCTTTTCAGCTCACTACTTTGAATACTCAGTAATCTCCTCAATGTCAATCCATGCTGGTAGCTTTTAGCCCCCACCCCCCCCCTCAGAATTCCAGAAATGAATGCTCAGTACTTTCTATAAAACAGCCCATTCTGATCCCAGGTTTGAAATGTTCTCATGATCTTTTAGATGGAGCAACCAGATTGTGACTAGGGCATAAGAGAACCAGTCTTAAGTCTTGAGAGTTCATTTTAATAGATTAAAATTTAGGAGAATTAGTCCTATCTTTCTATCCTTGAAATTCTATGCAGAACCTAGCCTTTGCCCTCCTCACAGTAGAAGCTTAACTAATGGAAGTTACCATAACAATAACCCTGTGAGTCTTTTTCAGTTGCCTGGCCTGGGAGACTAAAGGAAAGATGCCACTAGCTCCCTCCCATATGATCAGTTGAGAAGATTTTATCAATGCCACACCTAACTCCTAGATCAGGATCTCAGAATTGTCTTGACTGACTCCATTTGCTTCTGAGGCCTTTACAATCATTGCTTATCCTGAAGCCTCTTGCAAATGATGGAAACCGTCTTTCCACTCTGCCTTGCATGTCCAGATAGACAGAAACTGCCCCCCCAAGCAATAGGATAGCGACTTCCTAAGGCTGCTGATCTCCTTGTAATACCAGGGAAGACAACCCTCCTCAGTAAATTGTCCTTTGTTTCTTTCCCCAGCTAAGTTTTATGTCTTGTCCAGTGTGGGGAAGATGATTATAGATTCCAGTCAGCACTCTCCTTGGTGTTGGCCTCACTGAATAAATTTGCCTTTTTATTCACAGAGTTTTTTCTCTGTGGTAGGTAATATGAACCTGATCCTGTGTCCTCTGAATCAGCATCCATGTCACAGAACCATGGCAAACTCTGTAAGAACTCAAGATCTTAGTTCTAACACATTGTTTCCTCACTGACAGAAGAACACGAGGACTGCTAAAGCAACAGCCTTGCTCTATTTCAACATGCACCTGACATCTACCACTGACAATGCTATATCAAAATTTGAATATCACTAAATGATTTCCTTAGCAACAGTTCCTATAAAGCATCTGATATAAACTTGCCTCCAATTTAGTAGTTTTCTGAAAGAACTTTACACTTTTATTTTATTTGATTTTTGAGAGGTTGTTATTTTTTGTTTGTTTGTTTCTTTCTTTCTTTTTTTTTTTTTTTTGCTGTAGGGTGTGTGCCAGAAAGACAGAGACAGAGAAACAGAAAGTGAGAAATCACCTCCCAGGGGAGATGGCCATACCGCAATTCCTTCTCCTCCATTCACCTCTCAGGATCTTGGGCACGTACACACTCGTGCCCGGCATGAGTTTAAGCCACTGGGTCCGGGACTCGAACCACGGTCAACCACATGGGAGTCCAGCAATATAGCCATTACACTAACCACTGGTCCCAGAACTGTACACTTTTAAGCATAGAAGATTGTATATAAAATACCTTTAAGCAGAAGACAACATGTCTAAATAGATGAAGTAGTTTGTTGACTATCCATGGGCATGCATTGAAAATCTCATTGGGCATGCATTGAAAATCTCATTGTTTTGGATTCTCAAAACACTAACGTCAATCCAAATGATAAGAAAAATCCATGATTGATAGAGCTGGGTGAAGATCGTTGTTGGGGTCATGAGATAATATGAAGGAAACATCATAAGACTGTCCTTCCCCTACAGTGTGATTTTAAATAAATCTTAGTTATAAAGGAGGCTTTTTTTTTTTTTGAGAGAGATTTTTGCTATAGGTTGCATGTACTTATGTACTTGCTGGACAGACAGACAGCAAGAAATCACCTCCTTCCCCCCTCCTCCCAGAGGGGGCATGGCCACACTTAAATCCTTTTTCTTCCATTCTTGTCTGGAGATCTTGGGCATGCATGCACATGCGCCTGGTGTGAGTTTCAAGTCACCAGGTCCAGGACTCGAACCATGATCAGCCATGTGGGAATTCAGCACTTTAACTACTATGCCACCTGCTGGCCCCAAAGGAGGCTTTTGCACACTGTCTTGTTAACAGAATGAGAACTTCTATGAGAAGGTAGAAATCTCTTAATATGTGTGCAGTTTTTGTAACATGATTATTGTCCCTAAATGAAGTACCCTCTGTCCTAAATCATGTCTAGATTGTGATTTTGAATAAAAGGGGTAAAGGTGGGGCATCGTGTAGTGTGGTGGTTAGGCAATGGACTCTCGCATGGATGACAGCAGTTCAAGTCCCAGACCTGGTGTCTGGCTTTCTCATTCTCTCTCTCTCTCGTGAGTGCATGTGCCCTATAGCAAATTTTAAAAAATAATAATAGATTTGAAAATTTTTTAAAAAGAGAGGTGGGGAGACTGTTAAACACACACCAAAAATCTCCAGAATGAAGGAGAAGGGATTGGAGCATGGCTTTCTCTCCCGGGGTGTGATTTCTCACTTTCCCTCTCTCTGTTTGTCTGTCTCTGATGAGTGCACGAACCCTATGGCCAAAACCAGGAAAAAAAAAAAAAAAGAGTTGACTGGAATGAACTCTCTAATTCAAAGGCAACTATTGATAGGTTCTTCTCACACTTCTTAAATGACTCTACACTCAAAAATGATACAAACCTAAACAGCTATTTCCCATCTACTCGCTTGGCTTTTGATTTAACCTGAAATGTCTCTGCCCTTGTACTACATTGTAATAAACCAGAATAAAAGGTTCTCCCTGAAGATGAGAACCAGAAATGCAAAGTGGCAGAATCAAGATGCTGCTCGCCTTTCCAGGAACACTATTTCTTACTTAAAGGCCAACTCTATCAATAAAAGTTTGACCCCTCTATTGGTAAAATCTTTCCTTCTGGAACTCTAATTGGCTTTAATGCATTATTGACTTGCATCTGTGAGTAAATCGGGTCCATTAATAGAAAATGAATAGTTCCTCTGCTTTTTTTTCCCCCCCAAATCATTTTCTTGTTGGGAGCACTTTAGCAATTGTTTCTTAGTTCATTGTTCTGGGCCATTATGGGTCAGGTTGTGTTGGCTCCAGTGCGTTTTGAAATTTTCAGTATTATTCTAAAGTCCATTGACTTCTACAGCTCTAAAAGCTTTATCATATCAAAATCTTCCTAACAATGATCAGCGTGACGTAACTTACGGAAGTAAGCAGAGCACAAGCATTTTGCGAACCAACACTGACATTTATGTGGCTCAGAATTAATCAGGGAAAACACTGTGTGTTCAGATTTTTTTTTCTTTTTTGTAATTTTAAAATTTATTATTGTGGGGTATAGTATGGTTTCTTCATAGCATGTATATAGTATCTGTATCAATCACAGATACATATTCATCTAATACGGAGTGCATATAAGACAACAGGGCAAACAATTCCCTTCATGTCTACTCATTCCTTTTTTTAAGCATTGGAAACTGCTGCTTGGTTACCAATAAACTCTCAGCCTTATAATTCAAGAAATGTCAGAAGCATCCTCTGTTCTCTAGAGTAAAATGAATAGTTACAAAAAATTCTACATCTCAGACTAAAAACTTCAATAACTTCCAGGGAATAAATATGCAACAAAAAATTAGCCAAGTAGAGTAGATTATAGATGTATAATTACTATTAAAAGTATAATGTGTCTATGTCTCCTTTTTGGCATTTGGGTATTTTAAGAGACTATAATCAATATTCAAGACCCTGCTAATTGGAGAAGGGGTAAAATACAAAGAAATAGAAATTACTTCAGATTTGTGTGATATAGCGTGTCAGATTATAATGCCCTAAATCTCTTTATAAAAAATCTCCAATGTTTCTCTCTGTTCTCTTCTAATTTTCAGCCCCCAAACCTATCCCTTCCTATTCCAATCTCTCCAGTCTTCCTTATAGCCCTGTTGACAGTGAGGGTTTTATAGCCATGTCCACAGTCCTTGAACTCGATTCTAGCAGATATGACTTACTTATTTTGGTAACTGGGGATGTAAATTGTTAGATTGGAAATGGAACGTGAGTCTTTTTGAATTCTCATTTAAATCTTTGTTATTTATTAAAACAAAGCTCATTCTCGTCTTTTGACTAAATTGATTATTTGTTGTCAGTTTAATAATTTCCTGATTCTATTCCTTCACTATATTCCCTTGACAAACTTCTAATCATCCTTTAAGACTCAACTCAAACTCATCCTGAGATTGACTCCTGCCCTTTCTTATCTTTCCTCATCTCATTCTAGTTAGCATTTTATCTGTGGGTCTCTCAGTGAATTATATTTTGTGTGGTAGTAAATTGAACTAGCAGCTAACTCTCCCTCATAGGACAACAGGAATGGTATCTTTCTTACTTTTATATGTACCATGGTGCCTACTGCAATGCTTGACTTAGAGCAGCCTTTGAGAAATATCTGCCACATTAAATTTTACCCTCCTCACTCCAGTTCTGTTGCTGAATCTTATGTTTTTGTGTTGAAAAATTAAGGAGAAGGTGGGAACCAGCAGTTAGCATAATGGCTATGTCGCTGGACTCCCACGTAGTCAACCGCGGTTTGCGTCCCGAACCCGGCGGCTTAAAACACGCTGGGGCGCGTGTGTGTGCGTGCCCAAGATCCTGAGAGGAGAATGGAGGAGAAGGGATTGCGGCGTGACCATCCCCTCTGGGGGGTGATTTCTCACTTTCTGTCTCTATGTCTCTCTCTTTCTGGCGAGCACACACGCCCTATAGCGAAAACCTCTCACAAAAAAAAAAAAAGAAAAAAAAGAAAAATTAAGGAGAATATGCCCTGTTATCAGTTGCCTAAAACCCAATGTCATAGTTGAAGGGTCTTGCTATGCCTTTCACACTTCCTGATGATTATTCCAGAAGAAGGGATAAGCAGGAGCAATGTGCTGACTGCCATGATCTTACCTTCTCCATGATCCTGTCGATCTGGCGATTCTGTGTATCGATCTCATTACCCATATCCAGGGCCATGTGACGGAGGTTGCCAATGATGCCGCTCACCTGCTCCAGGTTCTCATCCATTTCATTTTCTCGAGCATCATTTGTTACCCTGTGAGCCAAAGAGTGATTTTTAGAAAACAGAAAGTAGAAAAAAAAACTTGAATACCAACACCTAAAGCTTAGAGAAAATCTATAGACCACTAGGTATTAGTATTAGTTATCTTTAATCTCTATTTAGTACAATAATACATTTTAGTTTTTAATACTATACCCCACAATAATAAATTTTAAAATTACAAAAAAGAAAAAAAATCTGAACATACAGTATTTTTCCTGATTAATTTTGAGCCACATAAATTTCAGTGTTGGTTCGCAAAATGCTTGTGCTTTGCTTACTTTAATACATTAGAAAGTAGTTTTAAACTTTCATTTGGACTCCTTAAGTTCCTATTTTTAAACAAGGTATATTAAATAGATTAATCTATGTTTCTCCTTTCTCCCCACACATCACTTACCCATGCATGTGTTTTTCACAATTTTTGCTTTTTAAGGATAAAATCACTTTAGTTGGAAGCACCTCAGGTCAGAGAATGAAGGTAAATGAGATAGAAACTGTATTTTTTTTCCCCTGAAGTGTCAAATAAAACCTCTAAGACTCAATTTGAGGATGAAAGAAAAAGCTTATTTTGCTAAGTCAGAGAGTTTCTCTGCTTATCTTCCCCCCCCCCTTTTGAGACCAACATCAATGGGAAAAGTAATGACAATTATAGCCTATTCTCTAATCTTGCTTGCTCCTAAGAACCCCAAAGGGCGCTATGTGTTCAGAATGATTTTATTTGCTCATATTTTAATGCCATGAGTATTTTAGTGGTGATTTCAGAGTTGAAAACTGGGATAAAGATTATTGTTACAATTTGAGTGGGGTGCGAGTGAAAAGGAAGGAGCTGACTCCCAAAGCACCTTACCATCTTGCCATGTTTTTGCAGTCCAGCTTCATATTTAAGAAGGTACTTTATTGCAAATATGCTTATTCTACAACTTTCCTAGTATATAGGGTGATGAGCTAAAAAATGTGCAAAAAGGGTTAAAATCCTTTCTCTGTGTTAACTCTCAAGATAGACTGGAGCATTATGGCTTTTACAGCAGCTCATCTTGGAGAACACTAAAAAAATTAAAGAAGAAAGTTTGGCTTTCTCATATAGGGAAGAAGTTTTTAAAATGGTTATCAATGGCCAAGACATACTTCTAGTTCCATAGTTTTCAGTTCTGATTGCATATTACAATCATCGAAGGAGCTATAAAAAGCATGGCTGATTGTGTCCCTTTTCAAGAGATTGTGATTCGTTTGGTATGGATTGGGCCCAGGCACTGGTATTTCCTTAGGTGATTCTAATGTGCAGCCCTTGGCTGGAGGACTCATTTATCTAGTTTCTCTGGGAGCAGATAGAAGCAAGAACAGAATTGGCATATGTGAGGTACATATCTAGACCCTACACCTCAGTGACAGTGATCCATTTTTCAATCAGGGTTACTGATGGGCCAGTAATAGCTATAATAATCTGAGAATAAACAGTTGTACAAACAACTACTCTGGTCCCAACTGAGTCCTGGTGTAGTAGCCTGTAAAAAGAGATAATTTTGTTCATTTCCATAGGAAATATTTAGTTATTCTGTTTTCTGCTTTCCTGAGATGAGTTCTGAATTGGCTGCTCTGTATCATTTGAGATCTTTAAAGAAATTTAAATTGGTTTTGCTTCTAGATGTCAAAATAAAATTATTAACTAAACACTCATTATTCATTTTTTTCACCCTATATTCATTCTCTGAACTTCTTGCACTATGCTCTGAGATGCTTAACTCCATGACTTTATCATCCAGCTTCTCTTACTCTCTGGCTTCCAACAATCTTTGGCCTGGTAGATTAGAGGTGAAGAGAAGTGAGGGGTTGGGTCATTTATTTTTACATTTTTATTCCCTGCTAGCTTTGGCAGTGGCTGTGTTTCTCTACCTAAAGGTCTTTGACTATAGTCATCACTATTGTAGGGTTCTAATAAAAATTCTCTCCTGTCTCTCAGGATAGTGGTTGTAACAGTTTACTGCTATTAACAGTCCATAAATGCTTCACTATTCCTTATTATTAACCCTGCCCATACTTCTGGAACAGTCTCTTTAATAAAAGCTGTTTGATTAAACTCATGGAGTGACATACCTATTTAGTGACACATTGATTCTGGATTAGATCATGTGATTTCCTTCATCTAATGAAACTTGACATAAGCAGAGGTTTGATAAGTACTTTTACATTGGAGCTTGCCTTCTTGAGATGCTGCTACTATCATGTAAGACCTGGGCTATCCTGTTGGAGAGGGCACCTGGAGGAGAACAGAGGTGTCCCACTGACATCTCAGCCAAACATAACCCAAGTGAGTGACCATCTTGGACTATCACACCTTTGAGTGAGCCCAGGAATGACTCATGGAAGAACCCCTCCAGCCAATATGTAGACTAATGAGCAACGAAGTGGTTGTTTTCTTAAGAACCACTCTATTTCATGGTGTTTTGCTACTTGACGGTAGAGAACTACTCAGTGCAGGCTATACGTAGCTTACCTACGGATGAAGCCACCACTGATGGCCATCTGCTCCCTTTCATCCACCACACGAGCAGGCTGGCTGGCCACCACTCCATCCTGGTTATTGCCCCAGGCTTTTTTGTAAGCATCACTTGATTTAAGCCTATGCAAAAAAGAGGGTGAGTAACAAGGCACAGGTGGAGCCACGAGCTCTCAAAAATCCTCACTTTCTCAAGCCAAGAATCAAACCAAGCGAATGAGTTTTAAGTCGAGGCATTAGAGAATACCGATATATCATAATCCTGACCCAAACAGTTGGCCACCACCATGCCTCAGCTACTCGGCATTTCATCTCCAATTGAGTCCATTGCAATTGTTAAGACTGCAATCTTTGTCCATAGGTTGTTCTTATTTTGGTTTTATTTATAGTTTAGTTGGATTTAAGACAAGGATTAAAGTAGCTGGAGGACATACAGTTCTATTTCAGTGACATGATTATATTTTGGGACACAAAACACAGAGAAAAACATACTGGCAGACAGACACAAAACAAGACTGCCAAGTAGAGTGTGTGTATCACACCACAGCAACACACTGTCATCAAGAGAACATACTTGACCAAGTTTTTACACATCATCATGCAAAGATCCATGTTTAATATTTTTTCCCCAACACATATGTGGAACTAACATTTTCAACTCTACATGAAGGACATAAAGGACTGGTGGTTGGCCAAGGGTGGTGGTCTTTGAGTTGCCTCTAGAGTGATTTGAATTAGATAATATATCGGTACTTCCAAACAGTCACCATACATCCAGAGTTGATGTACAAACCTTTGTCCACATAGACAAAAAGTAAAAGAAGCATAGTGAAATGGATGCAGGAAAATAGAAGAGAGAACAAGCCATCTAGCACCAAAAAGGGAAACCCTTCTACATCTTCTTCATGCACCAGCTACAGGCATGAGTAGAAAGTGAAGCATTCTCATTTAAGCCAAACTACTCCAGAAGTTGACCATTCTTGAAAAAGGCACTAGCAGGACAGTAATAGCCTTCATGAGGATTTGAAACGCAGGTTCAGAATCTTCTTTGTTGGGCTGAGGGTTAAGGTGGAGAGTGCTTTCAAACTCCTACTTCAAACTATCCTGGGGTTGTGACAGGG